ATAAAAAAGATTATTAGGATATTTTTTGACTAGTGAGAAGGCGTAATGATAGACTAGAGATAGCTATTACTAATGTGGGAATCCTAGAGGATAGAGATTAAGTTTTTCTAATAGATGCATATTCCAACTCAAACAGCCATCATTTATTTATAGTCTCCATTAGATTATTTTATTTGACTGAAAATATAATAACTAACAATTAAATATACTATATAACATAATAAAATATCTTACGGGCTTCATAGACTTTGCGTAATGATAAGCCTGATTTTATTAATTTTCTTTTCCACCAAATCATATTTAATTGATGAAAAAAAAATGAAGCCCTTAAGCCATATTTCTGTTCCAACTTCCAATAGTCTAACAATGCAAATTCAAATGAATCATTTTTCCGCACCTATGGTCAAATCATGCATTAACTGATAGTGTTGAAACATATAGCATCTTTATATTATTTAATAAAATCTATCTTTTTTCTTTTTCTTTTTGTTCTCATTCGGACTCACACGTAGAAATATTTAAGTACCATACTTTAATTTGTGGTTTAATTGACTCTCTCTCCATTTGTTCAAGGGAACAATGCATACAACCGGTTGCTTTGAAAGCATCCATACAATTAGTTACGTCATATTTTTTACTGATAAAATATTATTTAATATATAAAATAAAATAATTTTGGTGCCTTTTAGATTGAAAAATATCTTTTGTTTAATCGGATAACGAATAATTACTATTGAATAATAATTCATAAGAAAATTCTCATCTCAGCCACACAGTGTGCTTGAATTCTCTTAGATTCCTTCAAAACCTTATCCGCTGATGCATCTTTTCATAGAGGAAAATTGCTTTTGATTTAGATTTGTTTGATAATGAGTGACCGATTCCACCGCGTGATACCTCTCAAATTGGATACGATATCTGATGTGTATAGATACTTTTATTTAAAAAAAAAAACACACACACACACACGCGCGCGATACAATGCGTATCTAAATTATAAATATTCATAAAAAATACATATAAAATATTAAAAAATGTAATTTTAATTCCAAAAATATTCAAACTAGTATATATAATCATTTATAATAATACTAAATTATAAAACATAATTTTTAATTATACTTTTATTCTATCTATATCTAATGTTTTAGTACCTAATCCCTATTAATAGGTTCTTGCCTAGGGTTTTCATGTCAACAGATTACATTCTTATATCTAATAATTAAGAAAATATAATCTTTATTTTTTTATTATATGTAAAACTTATTTCTAGATATAGTGGGAATAAAAAATTAATATCATAATATTCAACAAAATTAAATTTCTTGGACCTACCTTTGAAATATTAACTTTGCAGTATCTGCCAGAAATCTACAAATATCAAATATGTACTAGAAATTAAGAAAACTTAAATTTAAAAAAATATTACAATACTTTATGAACACATAGTGAAAAGTATTAACAAATATCGGTATAATACTGATATAAATACGTGAGAGCATTTGAAGTACCGGGGTTTTTTGTGTCTCTTCTTCTAAACTAAAAATAATATAATAAATATTTCATATTTTTTTACCAAAAAATATTACTTCGTATTCTCATGAAATGAGGCTTGTCCCGCCATAGTCCGTATAGTCCATAGAGTACTTAATCAAGGGGCGTCTTCGTCGTCTGCTCGCTTTCAACTTTTTTTCTTTATTTAAAAAAGTCAATACCATTTAAAAAAACAAATGGAAAATGACTGCAAACTTTTCTTTTTTCGGGACCGCTATTCAATGTATCAGATTTTCAATATATTTGTTTTCTATTTTCGAACGAGTTTGGTAGACAGGTAAAAATAAAAAAACAAAACAAAAGAAAGAAAGAGTTTGGTAGAGGCTAGAGCACGAGAGTTTGGTAAGCTAACGAAAAGTTTATTATTATTAAAATCAGACCAAACTAACTGAACAACCCGGTCGGACTAGAAATTAAATCCGATCCGCCTCATAACATAACTCAAACATGACCCGACCAGGAGAACTTAGGAATTTAGACCAACTCATTTTCTCCATATTTTTTATATGAGGCTGGGCTTAAAAATTCAGTAAAAGTATGAGTAATCGGGCTTTTAGATTTGGGCTTAAAAGCTCTTCAAAATAGGAGTCGAGCACAGGGACAACTCCTAAAGCCTTTTTATTACTTTTTTTATGAAGTCAAAAATTAATCATTTGATTATTATAGTTTTGACCCAGTTATAACTCAATTTTTTAACTTTAACTCATTATAACTCAGACTCTGAAGTTTTGACTCGATTGTAAATTAGTCTTTGAAATTTTTCTCGTGCAATTTAGTCCCTAAAGTTTTAACATCTTAAATATTAATTTTATATTTTAAAAAATATAATTTTATAGATTAAAAATATTTAAAATTTTAATATTTATAATATTTAAAAGGATTTAATAATTTAAAATATTAATAATAAATTTGAAAATATTTTGAATTTTTATAATTTTTTTAAAATATAAAGACCAATATTTAAGAGGTTGAAACTTCAGGGATTAAATTGTAAGAGGTAAAGTTTAGGGATTAGTTTATAATTGAGTCAAAACTTTAGGGATTAGGTTATAATAGTCAAAATTTAGAGACTGAATTATGTAATATCCTCCTCCTTCTAAGAATGATTAATTTCAAATCTCAATTAATAAGGAGATCAGATTAAGATAATTAATATAAGACTAAGTTACAAATGGTTGGAAAAATTAGGATCCCAAGTTTACAAAATCAAAACAATTTTCAAAGACTTCCAATTCGATAATCAGAGATTCACAAATAGGCAGAAACATGGGATCATTACACAAATGAGTGCATTTACTTAAAAATTTGAAACCAAGAAAATTCTAAAAAATTTTAGGGTGTGCACCGCTTCTAATCGAACATGCACTGCAGTGTGTTCGCCTTTGTGCCATGTGCTGTGGCTAGAGACATCATGCACCATTTTAACAGTAAATTCTACTGTCAATTTGACAGCTTTTGGGGCAACTTTTGACGTATTCCAATTCTCCATCCGACGTTCGATTGATACGAACTAGGTGTCTACAAAAGCTCTTTTCAAGCTCTAATTAATGGCTTTAGTTTTATAATCAAATTATTATTTAATCAAAATTTGGATATTCTTTTCAAAACTTGCACTTTTTCAATAATTTTCACAAAACTAAGTGCCCAAACCATTTACCAAAAGCCAACAGTCATTGACACCAATTGGATCATATGCAAATCATCAAAACTAACTCGTGCAATATATCATATCACATTAAATACTCAGACCATATTTTTACTACTCAATCCCTTGATCTCAAAAACATTCAAGGGGGAGTTTAAGCACATTTTCATCAAGAAATCCATGGTTAAGCACATTTTCATCAAGAAATCTATGGTCAACACATAATATGTTTTACTCTTACTTGCATTAGTATTTTGGCTCTATCACATAACATCAACTCACTCCCTATGACCCAAAATACATTTACAACTCACCAAACACATAATGCAAGTAAGAACCAAAAATAGATAAAACCTAGTTGGCAATTTAAATTATCAATTACATATAATGACTTAAAAATAAAGAGGTATACTAAATAGGATCCAGTCTTAAGCCTCTGGGAGCTTTCCTTTTTCCAATCCTGTTGAGCTATTTCTCATAATATTGAAAATAGTGAGGTGAGTACAACCACTGAGTAACTAAGATCCAACTAACTCATACTAATACATGTCAATTAGATTAAATGTAAGTGACAGGTAAATAAACTAGTTCATGTATGAACATATTCACAATTACAGTTTAGTCTTTTCTTGTCTAACAAAAATAGACGCACAAGACAGTGGTCATTATTAGACCACAAAGCATGCTTTTAAAGAGTCAATCCACATTTCTCAATCATAAAGTAATACATGCTCTCAGTATGCAATTCAAGTTATTGGCCTTTCACAAAGTAAAATGCCTTCACGGGTTTATTTCAAAATGATTACAAAATAGGAACTATGTGTCATTTCTCATTAAATGCATGATCACACCTCCCTTATATCCTCCTCATTCCTTTGATATAAAACCATAGGCTATAACACAATGGGGTAGTTTATAATCCATAAATTTTCTAGCCTAAACATTTGTGAGGGGTGTTACTCAATTAAGATGTACTCAACTCACTTATAGAACATGGTTTCTCTCATTTCTCACACTATGGGGTGTCATACACCTTAAACTAGCTTTTTAATTGAACTAGTAGATAGCTAACTAGGTTCGAGTCCCTCATTGAACCAGTAGGACAGTCCCTATGTCATTGAACTCCTCAAGTACATAGTTATTATACCCTATCATAACTCACATCATTGAACTTCAACTACCAATTCATGAAAATCTATATTTAAACTTCAACTACCAATTCATGAAAATTTATATTTTCACAATCATTACCTCAATCATTCACAATCATTGAACTCTATCATTTTAAACATCATTGAATTTCTCATAAACACATAATACGAAAATCTATTAATATTGATTTTTTGAAGAATTTCATATAACAAGTCATGGAACTCACAAAATCAACCTAATGGATTCTCAAGCAATTCATGTCACAACTTGCATTTCATTTCATTTTTACACATTTCAATGATAAATCATTAATCAATAAGCTAATTAACACATAAAAGCTTAAGATAGAATTCTCCTAGTTATTTCAAACCTTTGAGAGGTCAAAGATTTTACTCCTCAAACACTCTCTCCCAAAACTTTCAAGAAGTTAGAATGGCGCCAATGGTAGTCACTCTACAAGCATTTACAATGCAAATTATCAATATCCATATTTGAGCTAATTTTCATTACTACTTTAACATTTTTTAATACTCAAAATTAATTCTTGACTCATGTAAAAGTATCCATAAGATTTCTTAACTTCGTTTAACCCTTACTAATATTATTAAGTCCTTTAATAGTCATTAATGAGACCGTATTGTTCCCAACCACCATTTTTATGAGAATTTCAAACATTTAATGTCCTTCAAATTCCAATGAACATATAATTATAAATATCAAGTTTACTTAGCTCAATCTATTCCCATTAACTATATTTAAGTCAATGAGTTCAAATCCATAACCTCTATGGACCGAAAATCACTATTATCAACCAAACTCTAACTTCTACCATTAAGAAAATGGAAGAAGAAAGAAGGATTTAAGTGTAAGAAGCTTACTTTTGATGTTTATGAGCTTCAAAATACTCCCAATACTCAATTTTCCCAAGCCCTAGTATTGCTCTCTCGTCTCTCTCTTGGTTTCATTTGTTTTTCCTCTGTTTTTTGCTTCATTTCATGACTTATGATAGCAAAAAAGTGACCATGCATCGCGGTGAACATATAATGCGCTGTGGCACATTGCACAAAGAGCCTCTTCCAGGTGTGTTGCCACACATGTGTCGTGGCAGCTTATCCACAAGCTGCGGCGCGTGGTATAGAATCTTCCTTCTTAGAATTTCTTCCTCTTTCATTCCTAGGTGACTCAATTCTCCTTCAAACTCGTGTTTAGGGCTGAAATTGAAATCAAACATGTCTGTTAGGCACCTCTGGCCACACACCTCACTAACACACTTAATTAATCAAATTTGGCTTATTTAATTTGGATTAAAAATTGAGGATGTTACAAGTTGCAACTAAATCAAAATTACAAGGACCAACTAATTAATTTTTTCAAGCTTTTTTATTACTTTTAGTTTAAAATTTTTTTACTCTTTTGTTGTCATCTAAAAAGTTTCTTTCTTAGACTCAATCTCAAATAGTTAAACCCTAACCATGAAAGTATTGAATTATTAGAAGAATAATAAGCAACAATTTTCCAACCTTATTTCCCAATCTTACAAAGATAACATGTGAAATCTTCAACATTTCAATCATCACGATAGTTAGTGAATTGACTTTTATTATTGGTTCATGTGATCTTATCAAAATATTGGTCTTTCCTTTTTTGAGATAACATGTATGCTCTAATTTGTACACACAGCTAGATGTATGATTTTGCTTATAGTAATTTACTTACATTTTATCATCTGTCTTATATATTTCTATTTTTGGATGAACACATGAAAATGACACTATATGTTCATCATTTAGTCTTGATGAAGAAGATGAAAATACTGATGGTAAAGCTTGAACTTTCTCCAGCTCAAGAATTCAAGTTCAAATATTTTGTTTATAAATGATGACAATGATGATCAAGTATTTAGTGATATTTTAGAACAAATTTTAGAATATTTGTGTAATGTTTTATTTATATTTATATCTTAAGTCGAAAATTTGGATTATGGATTTTGTTAAATATTAAAAAAAAAGCTATAAAACCATGCCCTAAGCCCCAATAATTCCAGCCCACCTTTTAAGACAGCTCTGTTGAGCTCTAGTCTCAATGGGCTACGCAACTTAGCCAATAAATAAGGTTTCAGTTCACCTATTTTTCAACTCTACACTAACCCATCAATCAATCTAAAACTACTTAATAGGACATGAAAAAAACTTACCTGTTAGCAAAAATATCAAAATATAAAAAATTGAAATTATTCAAAAAGAAAAGGGCAAAATTACAAACAAAGACCATTGAAGAAATTTTTATTGCTTTGCAAAACTAAACGATTTTGAAACTACTCTGAAGGATTAAGGAGCTTAGATGTAATTAAAATTTACTGTTATTTCAAAATTACTCATCACACACACACACACATATATATATATATATATAAAATAGTTATTCACTGCTGAACCGCCACCGTTAATATTCTCTTATTAATGATACCAAAAAATTAATTTTGTGGTGGACAGAAAGTGTTGCGATCTGATCTGCAAAGCAATTTTAGAATTTTTTGATCTTGTAGAACAACAAATGTTTTTTTCTGGTCCTTGGTTGCAATTTTTCCAAAGACTACTACAATTTTTTTATTTTTAAAAAATGAAATTACTACCAGCCCGCAGCTTACATTATGAGCCACACAAAAGTAATGCTTCAATGCAACCCCATCCATTCGGCCATTCCTTCATATTAGATGCAGAGAGTCGCCACTTCCCCACATTCCCTGCAATGTTCATCTTTGCATGTTCTTTTTTTTTTTTTGGTTGATTGTTTAGACATATTTCTTAATCCATAGACATGTTTTTAATCTATGTTGTTCATACCATCTATCTATATTTTTTAAGATGATTATATGTTTATAATTAAGTTGTAATTTGTCCTTAAAAAATGCTTGGTGGCCAGCCCACCTAACACTCATTTATCCCTGCTTTTGTTAATCTTTGTCCTTGTTATGTCTGGAAATTTTTGCATGCTTATTGATGAAAAATTTAGGAATAAGATTTCTATAATAATATTACTCAAATATGAAGAAATATGAGAAATAATTTTTAGAAGATATTGTGATTGATCATTTGAACAAAGATATTTGAAAGAATTATATTAATATTAGTGATTAGAAAATACCTAAAAGAGTTAATTATAATATTAGGAATATTAGGGACTTTTGGAAATATTATCTTTCTTCCCTATAAAATTCCACGACATTAAGATGAATAAGCTTAAGTTGAGCCCATCTGATGCAAGACTCGCTAATATAAGAATGAGTAGGATTTATTGGGTTGTTTATTTGTTTTTGGGTGCTAGGAGAGAGAGGGAAGGGGGGGGGGGAGAGAGGGAGAGCAATGTGGAAAGGAGTCTGATGACATTTGGAGAATGTGTGTGGAGTGTGGAGTATTGAACCAACAACTTACTCTTTCTTCTCCATTTCGAAACACCTGGGTGAGTGGGGGAGAGAGAGCTTTTTCGATTTGCATGGAGTTTGAGACAGTTTAGAAAGAGAGACTTTAACCCAATCAAATATCCACCATTTTAGCTCAAATCCTACAAGCAAAAATAGAATTTGAACCTATTCAACTCAAGCTTTCAGTTGAATCTAATGATTCATAAAGATTTTCAGTTTTTAGAAGGAGTTTAGGGAGATAAAGGCTAAGAACTTAAGGCTGTGGAATGTTCAAAGTAAAGTAAGTATCAGTTTGAGTTTTTGGATGAATTTATGAGTTTTAAAAGATAAAATGTGGGATTGAAAAATACTGGTAAGATTTTTTTTTTAAAAAAACTTACTTATGGGTATTTTGAGGTAGGAAAAATGATTGGAAGGTATTATATAAATACCCACTTAAAATAGGATTAAGAAAAATTAATAAAAAGTTTTGTCCTGTTATTTCGATTATTTTTTTGTTGAACAGGGGAGTCTCGATTGCTATGTATATGGCTGAAGAGATCACGGTTTGTTGTGTAAATGAGAGAAGAAGAGAATGGGTGTTTATTTGAGGGTGGAGAGTTACATTACCGTGGCTAATATACGAATTTGAGAGCATAGGAGCCTATTTGACAACTTATTCTAAAAATAATTTTTTATTTTTTAAAATAAAAAAACAAAAAAAACCTACTTAATAACGTATTTTCAAAAAGTGTTTTAGAAAAAAAATAAAATACTATTTTAAAAAATAAAAAAATGAAAACAACTTTCAAGTGTTATGGAATTATTGTTTTGGAGAATAAGAAAGAATGAGAAAAATATATATTTTTATTATTTTTTTATTCTCAAAACATGTTTTACAAAACACCGGTTCTTAAAACATTAAAATAAAAACAGTTTTAAACATCTCCTAATTTATTCCCTATTATTAGTCAAAAAATTTGCTGATTAGGGGGCTATGTTGTGTTGTTCCAAACTGCTAAAGTGGAGTAGCAAAATTTCAAATAGGAAATAGAGGGGTTTGTTGGGAGCGACAGTACATAAATATTGTCTTAGAAGGCAATTCTTTAAATAATAATAATAATAATAATAGGAGTAATATGAGATGTTATAATTAAATTATGAATTTGTTTATTTTGAATTGTGGAAAATCATATAGTTGTGATTGAATAATTTTTAGGCTTTGATATTTGTGAGAAGCCTAAAGAAGTTCATTTCCAAAAGAAGTTGAGTGTTTTGATCTAAGATAGTATTTATCTAATTTTTTTGATAGCAATGTTAGTTCATTTAAAGCTATAGAATTTTATTATCATGAATTATAGAAAATTTATGATTTAATGGGATGTTATATTGCTAGTATGATACTTTGGCTAATGCATATCTATTCTTGTTGAGTTTTATAAATTCATGGTGTATGCTCATTATTATTATTTTTTTATGAGAGGACCATTATTGTTTGGAACTTGAAATATACTAATACTATTGAGATTTTTATAAATCTTACTCTTCTTTTTATGTCACAAATAATATATGCAGGTTCATTCAAGAACCATTATAAGGACAGGGATCAATGAATAATTTATTTTCTTTACCTTGCTTCTTAACTATCTTTTGGTATATTTTGGAGTTATAAAAAACACACACACTTTCATGATTATATTTTGAGTTGTATCACACACACACACACAGAGTTTACCAAGATAAAATATTTATCCAAAGAAACAAGATTAGTAAAGGTATTGTAGTAGCTTTATGCTAATTATTGGCTTGAATTTTTTGTCACTTAGAGAACATTCCAAGCCTCAAATGAAGCCTTGATTCACTAAATTTGGAGTTTTACATTATGAGATATGATTTTTACAAAATAAAGTCAAAAATTTGGAAGATTTTCAGGAGATAATTGGAGCAGTGAGGAAGAAAATTTCTCAATAAATATTGGTTGTCATTTGAAGTCCCACACACACACACACACACACACACTCTCTCTCTCTCTCTCTCTCTCTTTCACGATTATATTTTGAGTTGTATCACACACATAGAGTTTACCAGGATAAAATATTTATCCAAAGTAATAATATTGGTAAAGGTATTATAGTAGCTTTATGGTAGTTATTGGCTTGAATTTTGGTCACTTAGAGAACATTCCAAGCCTCAAATGAAGCCTTGATTCACTAAGTTTGAAGTTGTACATTATGAGATATAATTTTTACAAAATAAATTTAGAAGACTTTCAGGAGATAACTGAAGCAGTGAGGAAGAAAATTCCTCAATAAATATTGATTGTCATTTGAAGTCAGGAATTATTTTTCCCTGGAAGAGGACTTCCAAAGCTTGTTTTCTATACTTAATTTATCTCATTATGATTTTTATAGAATTATTTATGAATTTTGAAATTTGGTGAAAGATTCTAAAAGGTGCATCAATGTTTAAAATCAAATTGGCATTTTTCACTTTTTAGTCTTTGGTATTTGATGATTATCAAGGTTTAGAAATATATGAGATGTTTCATTTTTGGTATCAGAGCATTAGATTTTGGCATTAGTAAAGAGAACCTTATGCTCATCGGTGAGAATTTTTCAAATGAACTTGTATGCATAGTTGTGAATATTTTCAAGTAATGATGTTATGTTTTAATATTTTAGACTTGATAAGAATGTCCTATAGGAAAAATATGAATATTGAAAGTTCTTAAGAGTGTAACTCATAGTCTATACATTAGGAGTTTACATTTAGTCATCTTTGAGGAGATATTTAAAGTTTCCAACCTTCACT